GGCGGCGGGGGTGGCTCTGGAGGGCCACCGGCTGCTGCATCTGCCACCGAGGTTGATCTCGATTACAGGGGCGACCCCGGCAAGGGCACGAAGGGCAAGGGCAAGCCCAAGGGCAAGGATGGCAATGGCGGCGCGATGGGGCAGGACGCACACTACGCCAGGGACGTCCACTATGCCAAGGGCAAGGCCAAGGGCAAGGACAATCATGGAGGGGGTGGTGGAGTAGATCGTGCCAACCCCAAGGGCGAGGGCAAGATTGGCCACAAAGGGGGCAAAGGGAGCAAGGGTCTCCATGAGGGTCAGGAGACCAAGGGGGCAGCTGGTTCCCAGGGCAAGGGCAAGGGCAAGAACCGTGGTGACATCGGCACCTCGGCTGGTGGCGAGTGGGAGGTGATTGCATGGCATGCAAAGCCAGCAGCTTTCGGCTGCACCCGCCTGATTACTGGCATCGAGGCGCTTGAGGCCGCGCTGGAGGCGTCGGAGAAGATCCTGGTGCAGGTCCCGGCGGAGGACTTTTGCGAGGCAGCTTCGATTATGGATGGTGGCTGCCCTTTGGGCAGCGTGCTCATCAAGGATGGTGAGGCTTGTGGGGTGCTGGACGAGCTTCAGAAGAAGTGGCCTGTCTCCAGGCAGCATGTTCCTGGAACTATGGGCGGCAATCCGCGCCTTCGGCGGGTCTGGGTCTGCACCTTTGGCAGTGCGGCTTCTTTGGCACCGGCGTTGGATTTCGTGAAGGCCCCAGCTCCTAAGAGGCGGAGAAATGAGGACACGGTCGTGTTGCGTTGCACTGCCTGGCGTGCGTTTGCGGAGGCCAAGGATTTTCAGGCTATGCTCAAGAAGCCAGGCCAGACTGCGAGGGCATGGTATACCAAAGTGGCTCCCCTGTGCATCCAGGAGTTCATCGATTCTTGGGGCTGGCAAAGTTTCGGTGATGATCAGGTGAAGGGCTTGATCAGACTTACCAAGGAGGCAGCCTTGACCGCGCTCCGCTCGTCGGGCTGCTGGGCCAATGGGGTGTCCCTCTTCTTTGCAGCCCTGGATTGGGGCCAGGTGGATGTGAGTGAGGCCCCGGCTTTGCTCTGGATCGACATGGAGGCTGGAGAGGAGGCCAAGGATTATGTCCAGCGTGTTCGGAAGGAGGCGGCGTGCCATGGGCTCCATTGTGGAGGTGATCGCCTGGCTGTTCGGCTGGATCAGCTTGACCCGCGCATCTTGCCGCAGAAGGCTGCATGGCATCTCCGAGGTGCACGGCAGGATTGGCTGTGTGATGATGTGGAGGCCGTTTTGTCATCTGCGGGTTTCAGCGAGGTGACCATTGAGGCGAAATTGCTTCGGCGAGGGCAGCCCGTTTGGGAGTTCAGAGGGCTTCGTCAGGACTTTCGCGACTTCGTCCCCATTGAGCTTGAGGATGGCGAAGTGGACATGGAGGGTGGCATGGTCCTCGAGGCCGCTCGTGTGCAGCGGCGGCGCAAAACTGGCGATGCTAAGGTCCTCCCCTTGGAGCGCGTCGCCAAGTTTGGTGCAGTTGATGTTGCTGAGTTGGTCAAGAAGGTCGCTGCGCCGAAGCGCCGTAGCCGCTTTGCGCGATCCAAGGAGGATGCTGCTGCCACCGCACCGCTCGAGGACATGGACGTCGACGGTGAGGCGGTGGACGATGGGACCGAGGTGGGCCAGAAAAGGCGGCAGGCCGAGCAAGGGGGCAGCAAAGGGGATTTTGAGTCGTCCGAGCCGGCCCCAAAGCGTGCGTCCAAATCGGTGGTCCTTCCTGAAGGGGCGGTCGCTCACTCCAATGCAGGGGGTGGGGATTGCCTCTTTCATTGCTTGGCTGATGTACTCTCTTCCGTCACTAAGAAGCGGCGGGGTCACAGGGCCGTGCGGGCGAGCATAGCCTCTTGGATGGAGTCTCATGTCGAGTTGCTGGAGCCCCACTGGGATCACATCGCTCCAGACGGCTCGGTGGCTACGGGGTCTTTCGGTGACTATTGCAAGCAGATCCGTGAAGCGGGTTCATGGGCTGGATGGTTGGAGTTGTTTGCTGCTGGGGTTGCGCAGGACTTGAACATCTTGCTGTTGTGCCCGGATCACACGGTCAAGTTCCCTGCCAGGAATGAACAGGGCCACTTCGCGGTCTTCAAGTACGAGGGTG